AAGTTTAATGGGCCCCGCCCTCAGAATCGATTTGCCACTTTGGAGTATATGTTTGAGCTGAAACTTTCACGAATGAATGGGCTTAGTGAGAAACGCTTGTGGTAAAAGTTTCAGCCTTGTATACCTTACTAAATGAGACTTATGACTTGTTTTATAGCTTCCACGAGAATTCATGACTATAAGAGCCATCGAAGTCGGGTGGGTTTTAAATTAAAGTTAGCCTCCATACGCAAGTTTTCGTCACACAGAATTTTGAAATTCCCTACTGTTCATATTTTTATAAGCATTTTACTCGGTATGACTGCCAAAGTAGATATAAAAAAAGCCCTAAATCTGACTTTTCTCAGTCCGGGAATCCAATATCGAAAATCCGTCTGATAAAAAGTTAGCTATAATTGAAACCTTTAAAATAAAGAAAAATATCAGAGAAAGCTAAAGCCAAACGAAAGCTATATCAATTTTTCTACTTGAGACCCATGTTTTCAGACCAACATTTAGGAATTTTTAGAAAGGTGTGTGAGAGTAAGGAAGATGAAAGAGTATTTCTTCAATAAGTCTGTCAAAGCTTGACCTTTTTTCAAAAAATTATATATATTCTGAAAGAGGAGATCACGGAGAATCTTTCTATGATAAAAGCTAGATTTTGGTTTTTTCGAAAAATCGGCTTTTCTAGGGGGGAGGGGCTTAAGTCAGTTTGTAAAATTCATTTAATGAAGAAGATGCGTGAAAATTATACGATTCCGTGGAATAAAACGTTCAATTTTCACCCTAAACAAGCGTTTCTAACTTTTAAAATGTGCTTGATTATCGTATAGACGTTTTCCGCAGGCTACCCACCCAGTATACTAATAAAAAAAACACTCAAGGAAATTCTTAAATACGTAACCTCCTTCATGAGATACTATTCAGAATATTTGCACAATATTAGGTGCTGGGGTGACAATGAGCTACTTCTGATTATCGCTATCTATTTACATTTCATGTACTCAAAGAAGAAAATAAAGCAAATCATTTCAAAAGCGAATGCAGCGACTAAGTTGTTGGACAATAAGATCTTGTTATCACTGCAATTATTTCATAAATTATATCAGAATCCATTAGCCAAGCAGAGGATTTTTTTACTCTCAGTACTTCAAATATAGAACGAGATATGGTCTTATTTGTTATTTCTCATCGTTGTATATCCTATAAGTCTCTATCACAGTTTGACAGCCACAATGAAGCTAAAGGCTGTTGGCATTTCAATGTGTCATGATTTATGACACAATTGACAACACATTCAAGTTTGACACATAAATCTGACGCATTTTAACATAGAGTGTAGATTCACCTCTTCTTTTTAATTACTGAGTTTTATACATAAAAACTGACGTTGGGTATCGGTGTTTGACCCATTTTCAGATTTAAAAATGCATCGCTCTAAAACATAAAATGAAATATGTACAGTTGTTTCTTTTTATACATTCTTTTATTTTTCCTTTTTTATTCTTTGAAGTCTAATTTAATATTGTTACACACGAAAGAAAGTTGACTCTTCATGTGCCAATTCTGCCGTCTTATCTCTGAAAATATTAACGTTGACTTCGAAGAAATAATACAAGAATGGATAAAAAGTAACAACTTTACAAACTTCATTCTCATTTCAGAATGCAACATGCCCACATTCTGAAAACAATCCGTTTGCTCGGAAATCCTTAAAAGCAATCAAAGGGGATCCTAATCTTGGAAACGTAGCATAGATTTCCGAGTCTGAAAACCTTGCACAGGCCACCAGCATCTACCTTAGAAATTATATACCAATCTATATCTGACGCATTATTCTAACTCCATATTTTATCAACTCATTCGAATTCCGACTGCATACCGATCCTCTTCTTCTAACATCTTAAAGAGTCATTACGCACGACTCAAGACATAGGCTGCTCAATCGATTTTCTCAAATTTCTATTATCATTTTCATGTTTCAGAGCTCAGTCAATTGTTAAGTTTATTGTCACCAATCGTGTCTCAATATTTGAAACAGTTGCTGAGATATCGAATTTTTACTACAAAAGTACTGCGGGTCTGAATGACAATGTTGATAAAATCATTTTTTATTATTTAGCTTGCCATTTCCGAATGCAGTACAGTAGTATCATGAAATTTTCAGGATACATGTAAAATAAATATCTCTATAAAACAGAGCAAACGCCAGTACCAGATGTTGCTCTAAATAGCTTTTAACGAGGTCACTAGCATTCCTAGTTGACTATGAAAAATCAATTGAGTAACTAATTGCCCACGGTCAAGATTTTGCTAGTAGACACTAGAGATATAGGGGCCATAAAATGGCGAGAACAAAACCTAAGTGCAGACCGAGATATCTCACTTTTATCAGAATTTTTCGTACGTTTAACTCGTTTGTCTTAGCTCTAGTCGTATCTTTTTCTCGTGCAGAAAATGCGACTTAAAGCTCAGAACAGCGAGTAAAAATTACAAAAATTTCGATAAAAATCGGATCTCGGCATGTAATTAGAAGTTCAAAGTTGTGTTCTCGCCATTTCATAGCCACGTAGGAAAGCTAGTGACTTCGTTAAAAGCTATTTAGAGCGATATCTGGTGCTGGAATTCGCTCTGTTTTATAGAGATATTTATTTTACATGTATCCTGAAAATTTCATGATTCTGTCACTGAATTCGAAAATGGCAAACCAAACAGTAAAAACTGATTTTTATCAACATCGTTACTCAGATGTGCACTGCTTTTGTACTAGAAATTTAATATCTCAGTAACGGTTTGAGACATCGAGGTGTTGTTGGCGGCAATAAACTTGGCAATTGACAAATTTTCAAGAAAATGAAAATCAATTCGAAATTCGAGAAAATTAATTGAGCAGCCTGTGTACGATGCGGTCGTGGCTCACGTGCAATTGCTCTTAATCTAGGTCCTTAATCTATATCTATACTCTCATTATGATTTCTTGATCTAATTCCTTATACTATGCCTCAACATGTATCCGCTCACTCTCAAGTTTTAATCTACCATTGCATCCTGATTTTGGATCTAATAATATCACTTATTTATAGTTGATTCTAATCGTATATTAGTGAATATTTGTACGTAGTATAGGTGTGAATGAAAGCTTCTTGAGGTACACTCATGATTTTTGGCGAATTTCTTCCTTGTTTTTATCTGTTAAAACGAGTACTTTGAAACTATCGAAGGTCTCCAAAAGGATATATCCAGTAATTATACAGCCATATTTTCAGTTAAAATCGTAATGTCTAATAATCTGCTAAGAACAAGGACACGATGCCAACAACAGTAATGAATCGTTTGAAAGACAGAACCTTAAACTTTATAAAATACGTCAAATGCTTTGATTTTGCAAATTCATGACAATTAACTCAAGAATAGCAGTAAAAGTAGAATGTCCTTCATTTAGTCTTTCTGTAGCTGAAAATCCTAATCATATAGTCTGTCCTAGTCATCGATTTTTTATGTTTTTTAGCAAGAGTCGTAAAATCAGTCGTGTGTGTTGAAATATTAGTACCTCCCATGACCGCTGACATCAAATTAGTTAAAGTTTTTAAGTCATCGTGTCTATTAAAGATATCGCTATGAAATTAGTGAACGTTGTTAAGTCTTATATCCGGTCGAACTCAGCGTCATTGAGTCAAGTGGAGTTCTGCAGTGTTGAAACATTTTGCGTATTGAAGTGAAAGTGTTTAAGGTAGTCTAACTTCTTGCGTCGTTATTGCTTTCGAAGACACCATATTTATTTCATTTTCACTCTTGGGGTCTTTAGTTTTGTTACCGTTGAAGAATAGTTTTGATGTTCACATTTTTTCCTGACTTTTTTTCCAGATTAGTTTGGGAGCGGTATCCTACCATGTAACAAAATAAATGTCTACCATTTTCTTCAGCATGCTTTTCAGATATTTTACTGGGTTTATGTGCTCAAACTGAAGATTCATAATAGCGTCAACTTATTTTTGAAACGATACGTAGCGACATTGTTTAGAATAGGTGAAAGCAGAAATTCGTGTCACTTACACTAAGAGACTTGGAGACAGCTAAAAAGAAAGATGTATGAGAGTTAATAGTTTCTAACTGTCAAGAATTTACTTTTTTCTTCAGCCAAACAGCAGTGGCATTTCGAAGACGTTTCATTCTTTTAGGCTATTTAAGAACGCCTAGATGTCTACTTTATTGAAATGATGGCATTCAGAAATGAAGTATCCTACGCACTATTCCGTTTAGTTAGTGTGGGCGTGGGTGCTTCTTCTTTTAGCCTGCCCCTCCACACCCTAAGGAGAAATAAGTTAAATTCGCAATATTAGTTAGTATACATTATATAAGTTACTTGTATATCATATCATATTTTAATATAATATATTTATGTTAAATATTCAGTAAGTAAAAAGAGATGATAAAATTATCTCTACTGTGACTCAAAATCTGCCCGAATCAATGATCAGAGAAAATTTTATTTTGCAACCTCTATTACAGTAACTCAGAGTCGAGAGTTATTTTCATGAAAATTAACTACAAATCAGATGCGATTGTACACAAAGCTTCAGCTGAATTGACATTATGCCATTGAACTATGATAGGAAATATGAACTACATGTATCAGCAAAAATATTAATTGCCAATTCAGAGATTTCAGAATATTTCTTCAGTGCTTTGACAAATATCCGACTGACCAATTGACACATAACATTTCTATAAAATTTAAGAAATCATTGGTCTGAAATTTCCCATTTTTTAACCTGCGAAAATATATGAATCAATTTTTTCCGAATGTATCTTTCGTGTTTGTGTTTTCAGACAAATAAAAATGCTTTCCTTTACATTTTTCTAACATAACATTGTAGTTGAAAATCTGTCATATATATTCATAAAATTTTAAAAGTTTCAGATGAATTTAACGGGCATTTCTTTTTAGGATAGAATTTTACTACTACATTAATAGTTGGTTTTTCCTGAAGCGTGCAAAAATGAAGAATCGATCAAATATGACTGAAATACAACCACTTCTGAAAACTGATGACTCGATATTTAGCCATGATGATCATAATTTTAAAAAAAACTCATTATATACCGAGTAAGCTCTAAACACATAACTATATATAGAAGGAATACAATAATATATTGTTCTTGGTATAGACTTTTGGACTGGTGGCGAAGTTTATTTTTAAAAAAACATCATGATGATTACGAAGAAACAAACAATATGAATAATACTGGAATCAAAAGACCATCTGTTGGGTTTTGTCAATTTGTAAGTGCTGTGAACATCGGTGTATTCATCATTTAACTGTATGTTTCACTTCGTTATATGACAGTTTCGTTTTGCTAACCGAATCGATTGGTTGATGTCATGCATCGCAATTTTTGCTGCTGCATCGTATGGGCTTTGTTACACAGGCCAATTGTTTGTTTCCGGTAAACTCATGGGAACATTTGCTTTACAATCCTTTTCAGATTTTGGTCACCACCAGATCCAGTGTAACTTACCGAACATGACGAGTACTAATAAAAGTTGTCCTCTTGGAATCAACTTTAATCTATTGAATGACACTGGATTAAAAAAGTAAGTGGCCAAATCGGAAATATTCTTGCTTATAACTCAGTACTGCAATCATTCTAATTTAATCTTCGCGTGTACTAGACTGTGCTATAGTGCAAACGCTACATCTGCATCACCATTATTCATGTCCATGGTTGAGTTTCAAAATGATGTTATGAATAAAATTTACTGGTTAATTGGTGAGTACGACAAGGACTAGTCATTCAATGTTAAAAAATCTTTTCTGTCACTTGCATTTGTAGCTATTGCCATCATTCAATTCATTTGTCTTTTCACATTCAATTTTCTTTTTAATCTTACTGTTCGACGCCAGGCAGTACGCATGCGCGTTTGCCTTTTTGAAACCCTTGTTCAGCAGGTACACACCATCGATCTATTTTTGTTTCGCAAATAGATGTATAAATATAATCTTTTATTCTCTAGAGCATGTCCTATTTCGATACTAATTCATCTCGGCAGTTCAATGCCGCACTATTTGAGTATAATATTTTTTGAATTTCAAACATTATTACTTTTTATTTCTTTTGTAGCAATATCGAAAAATTCATCACGGGTATCAGTGGTGATTTAGGTATAGCGATTGCAACATTGGTCTTCTCAGTTAGTTGTGCTGTTACATCAGTGATTATTTATTGGCAATTGGCGTTGATTTTAATGTGCATTGTACCGTTGTTAATTGTTTCTTTGTATGCTTTTATGATGGTAAATTTTATTATTTACAATTTATTTGACTTTCAGCCTTTTTCATAGCTCACTGGCAAAGAAGCGGCGGTCGAGTTAAATGCCTACGCAAAAGCTGGAGAGATTGCTCAGGAAGTATTCAGCTCTCTTCGTACTGTGCTTTCACTCAACGGTGCACATTTTGAACAAAATAGGTAAACAGAGTACATATACAGTGTGTTACATAACCTGTGAGACACTGCAAAAACTAGCTTTCATCTAGAAAATAAATGATCTTCAGTAGATTTTTATTTATAGAATCTCATGTAAAAAGAAAGTGAAAAAAACTTTCAAGTACTTTTAATATTAATAAGGTAAAATAAATTAGCTTTTTTCACTATCTTTCGCTTTTTATACTTTTCGAAGTACTTTTCCCTAAGTAGAATCCTTGATGTTTCAGCGCAAGATTCTTGACCGATATGATCAGGATCCTAGAAGGATTCGCGCGGTTTTCCTCAGAAATCAACTAAATCGTGAAAGAAGTGTGTAGCCACGGAATGGTAGGATCTTTTCAGAATTTTAATAATTCAAAATTGGAAAAAATATTTCTGATCACATCTTGCAGGATTTGGCTAGGCTCCCCCAAAGATGTTCTCAATTTTCTTGGCAGGATCTTCGCAGAATTTTCTAAATAGAACATAAGAGAAGGGAAAACATAGAGTATTGATCTATAGGCCTTCAGTTTGCATACCGATTAAATTACCCGGCTGAATGTGCCATGTCATTCTATATCAGTTTAACGTTCAATATCTTAACTTCTGACACTAATGTGCAGTTCTATTGAAATTCTATGTGAATACAAATTATTTCAAAAAGATTCTGAAAATGCAGTATAATTTTACATATTTATTTTTGTAAGCGTCAGTAGATGGCACTCACTGACGCTAAACGTTTATTCGCGTTATCTGTTGTTATGATCTCTATTTTTATTTGTTACGTAATATTTTCGACTATGTATAATCCTCGTGATTGATTTTCGTTCGCTATTGCGCAGTTATTGATGTTCTATCGTATCGAATACTCGATACTTAATATATTCTATATAGGATTCGACGACAAAGTCGATTATTAAAACATGTTTAGCTCTCTATTTTTGGCAGACTAAATATTAGTCCTACCATTGCTACATAATCCCCAAAACGAGAGCTAACAATTTTAGTCGATGAAAATTTACTATTTTTACTTTCCATGGATTAAAAAAACGTTTTTTTGAGTTTTTTCCCGAATATAATCAAAATTATTATCAGTTCGGATCGAAACATTTGTTACTGACCAAAGCTATCTATTTAACGAAAATAATTACGATGACTCAATTCAAATTAACATCCTAATTTAATGACTTTTAATTTTCTTTTTCTGATTAAATTTAAAAAAGAATTGATTGTTGTAGCCCGAATCTTAAAACAACTAGTATATAGACTTTTTTGTAAGATTTTAAGATTCGTTATGTTTGCTTATGAAAAGAAAAAGTCCATATCACGATAACGACACCAGTAGATTATCCAGTTCTCAGAGCTTTATCGAGATCAGCACAACAACACGATTATATCTTGCAAAATTCTTCTATTTGTTTTTGCTCTGATTTTTCTCAGTAATCGTATTGAAATTCTCCTCTGATCTATAGATTTACCAATCTTGAAAAGACCCTGACCTGAACCTAACTAAAAACTGACAGGATGTTCAAAATTTATTTTTGAATAGTCTATGAACACAAACCTGGAAAGATCCTGATTGAAGCTTTGCAGGATGAGTCACTTTCATATCCTGACTGATCTTGTTCTTTTCCTGCCGGGATCATCATCTGATGTGGCTATAATTCCTAACAGGATCCTTGATAGGATTCTGTATTCTCAACTTAGAAAAGTATCTGACCAGAAATTTGTAGAAACCTTGAACAGAATCTTGATTCATCTTGAAAAATCCTGGAAACAGGAAATACAAGGATTTGAAACAGGATCCTGAAAGATCCTTCCAAGGCTTCTCAAGGAATGAATAGGATTCAGGCTATGGTTTAAGTACTTTGCGTCCTATAAAGTTTATTTATTAATTTTTATACTTTTCGAAGTACTTTATGTTATTTTTAGCTTTTCAAGAAATACTTAATATTAACTTTTGTGATTAGAAAAGTGATTTTTGCGATTCAGTCATTTTTAAGCAGTACTTGATAATAAAAGATGGAAAGTATGAAATAATGAATATCACTCTGGTGGAACGTAAGTATTTGCGAAACCTACCAGTGATAGTGTTGTATACTTGGAGTTGAAGAATATAGCATTGTGTGATAGGAGTAAAATGTCTAGTTTTTCATTGAGATATATGATAGGCATTTGTTATTGCCAGTGTCAGTGGTGAATGCTGGTTTTCTACTTACGTTAGAGTATTTGTGTTGAAAACTTTTCGTTTTTTTAAATGGTGTGCGGATGAAGGTGTCTGTTCTTCACCGGTACCAACATCCTACACACAGACGCATCCTCATGATCTTTTGGCATTTGCATATAAATTTTCTTTTATAAATACATTACAATAACAATTATATTCACGTTAAATCTTACTTTTAAATTTTAAACCCGACAAAAATGCTAATGGTGCGCTTATTTTCAAGTGAGCTATGATAGTGTGACTAAAGTACAAAAAAGTACTTTTTTGGTACTTTGTACATTAGCCAAGCACCGCCGTGTTTTGTGCACAAACGCTCGTGGTTAACTGAGAGACATATTTTCCAGTGAGCACTATTGAAATTAATGACTATCTGTGTAGCTATCCACTTTCAGCCAAGTTTTGTTCACCATTTATCCCGTATGATACAGATATCAAAATCCTACCTGCTAGCTTCCATTACTATGCAATTTTCTATAATACAACGAGAAAGAAATATGTTACTTATTCTAGTCATTCATTATCATCTACAAATATTTATTACTATCTACTTTTCATTCCACTGTTTCCCATCATCATCTGTTTTCTGTTATATAATTAGACACGAAACCCAGTCAATAGTGTATATATATATATAGTGTTCTAGTAAATTTTAGTTAACGCAATTTTTTTCATCAAACTCCTCATATTTAAAGACATGCTCTTAAGTATTAATCAACGTTGAGTGATACATTTTTGTATGCCATATCATCTTTTGTCCCTTCAAATGCGCTTAGTATTTGATAATTAAACACGTTCACCAAATCACGTACTTTGTTTTCTTTTCTCATTGTATTATAGAACATTGCAGATTAGTGGAAGCCAGAAGGTGCGACTTTGATAACTGTATCGCACGAGATAAATGGAGGACAAAACTTGGCTGAAAGTGGATAGCTACACAGATAGTCACCAATTTCAATAGTGCTCACTGGAAAATATGTCTCTCAGTTAGCCATGAGCGTTTTTATTGCTTCGAAGGGAATTTTTCAAATGTTGTATATCGATTACTACTACATACTTATAAGTGAACTTTTTAAATTAAATCGCATAATATGTGTCACGAAAAGCTGACTAAACAGTTAACGGTAATATCGGTCATAATTTTTACAAATCTTCTTCACACGGTCAGAATGGTTTTAGTTAACATGTAGTACAAGCTCATACTGAAACAAAGTTAAAAAGCCAAACAGTAAATACGGAGAAAGGACACAAAATAATAGGCAATAGTGATATCATAAAAGAAAACAGGACCGCCAAATTACACTTAATGTTAGGTTAAGCGTTGAGAAGGCTTTGATTCCTCTAAACTTAAATTCAACCATAACATGTGCTGCGTGCCTGAATAAAACTATCAAAAGTCATAAGATGATCGACAAAATGTGCACTTTAGAATCGAAAAGATACAGAGTATATATGACGAGCAAAACTTTCAAGCAAATGGCGCAAATCGCTCCATTTAATAATTACTGTTGAACTGTTGAAGATTTCTCAGAAATCCTGTACATTTGGTTTTATATTAATACCAACTGATTTTTCCTCATTCTTTTTATATAGTTTTCATACAAATCTAGTGATGCATGCAATCAATGAAGCATTAAAATTGAAGGAATTATAGAAATATTATCTTTAAAATGATAATCTCTCATGTTGAGGTTGCAGTAACAGTCTTTTGCAGTCAGTGCACTGTAAACAATTTCCTTGAACTAAAATGTGACTATTCGTGTAGCAAGTACTTCATGATAAATCTCGATAAGAAATTATAATAAAGATTCTTTAGCTAACTTTTGAAACATTGTGTATCACTCTCGCATAATTCAACTATTTAAATTGAGACAAAAAATGATTAGATCTATCCTGTACATGACTTGTTGTCATCAAAAGATGAGAAGTATCGTATCGGTGAATATTTTTCAAAAATAGGTATCAGCAAGAACTGCATAGAACTCATTGGAGCAGTGTACGCAAAGGTGTTGTGTATGGTCTCTTTGAAGGTTGGAATTCCTTTACACTCTATATGATTTATGCTCTTGGTTTTCTATTCGGTTCTATCCTGATGCACGAAGAAGGACGAAATAAATTAAATATCGGTACTATTATTCTTGTAAGTCATTCACATTATATCCAGTTTAACATAACGAACATTGATATGTTACTTTCTTTGAATAGGTAATTACTCTTTTTACACAAGGAATTTATTTAATTGGCATGATTGGTCCTTGTTTGCAAGCGCTTGCTGAAGCGCAAGTGGCTATCAAAGAAGTTTTTCGACTGATAGATGAGGTAAAATAGACTATAATTACTATTTTTCAAGCGATCAAACAATTTATGCTTGACATAGACAAACGGGACAGACGATAATGAAACAAAAGTATGGCAAGATAGCGATAATGAAAATACTACAGTGGATTTTAACGGTGATATTTGTTTTGACAACGTCACCTTTGAATATCCTACCCGTCACCATACCACTGTTTTACAAAATCTCACATTTGTTGCACGTGCCGGTGAGACAACTGCATTAGTAGGATCAAGTGGCAGTGGTAGGTTTATCAAGGAATGAATACATGTTTTTAATGATTTCCTCTTCTTTGGATGAATAGGTAAGAGCACCTGTATGTCACTTTTACTTCGGCTCTATGAGCCATCGTCCGGGAATATCACTATTAATGGAAAATCAATTAGGGACTACAATGTTAAAAAACTTCGACAAAGCATTGGCGTTGTCAATCAGGAACCAGTATCTTTTTTTCCTTCTTTTTTTCCTATTCTTTTCTTTCTCAACTATTTCTATAGATTCTTTTTGACACAACCATCTATGAAAATATTCTCTATGGTAATAAAAAAGCTACACGATCTCAAATTGAAGAAGCAGCACGTGAAGCAAATGCTCACAATTTCATCATGCAACTAACTGAAGTTTGTTTGTTTTTCATAGTATATTTTTGTAAAGCACGATTTTCAATCGAAAGAAACATACTCTAAAGATCAAACCAAGATCGTTTATCTTGGATAAAACTAAACTTGAATGCTATTGTGTGTATAAGACTTGTCAACAGTAGCGATAGATTGCATTTGATATTTATCGTTCGATCCATGATAAGCGTTTAACGAGTTTTAATTATTTACAAACGACTGTTGAAGTAATTGTATATAAGATGCACGTTTATAGTTACATGAATCTTCCCTTTCTTCCTTGCTGCAACCATTGCACTAACAGCTTTCTTTTGCAATGAACATTAATTAAGAGTAATTTTCATTTAGAAATATGACACATTAGTTGGAGAGCGTAGTATTCAACTAAGTGGTGGTGAAAAACAACGCGTGGCACTGGCTCGTACTCTTGTCAAACAGCCAGTGTTGCTGTTATTAGATGAAGCAACAAGTGCGCTTGATAATATCAATGAAAATATTGTACAGGAAGCTCTTTCTCGAACATGTAAAAGTAAGTATACTGTCTTTTTTCGTTAATGTTCTATTTCATTGTTCATAGATCGAACAACCATCGTAATTGCCCATCGTTTAGCAACAGTTCGACATGCTGATTGCATCTATGTATTAGATAAAGGAAAAATAGTCGAGAGTGGTACGCATGAGACATTGATGTCACAAGAAGGAAGCAAATATCGAGAAATGGTTCAGGTTCAACAACTAGAAACGATAGAAAATGACGACGATATTAGATGGAACCAAGAGCAATTGAAAGATGAAAATGAAAAACAGACATGTATGTAAAATACTTAGGGCATACCAAAAGTGGTGACGCCGATCCTATTTTGTTTTACAAAAGGCTTGAGAAAATTGTTTTCCCTATATATTCGGATAGCCCAACTCGTGCTCTATAATTCTACAATATTTGATAAATCTTCAAGTGACACTATATTAGTAAAACTTTTGGAACACTAAAGTCTCCTGAAACTTTCATAAGTTTTCATTTTAAGAATAAATAAGAACTAACTGCACATACAGGAAAAAAACATCGGTGTTTTATATGTACAAACGCGTCTGCATATCAGAGAAGTTGAAAAGGTAAGGAAAAGAAAGAAAAGAGGGGAGAAGATTTAAAGAAAAAATAGAGAAGCACAGAAATAGCACATCAAAAACAATACAGGATAGTATTTCCTACATAGATAACCATACGATCAAAACTGTTCACGTCTCCTTCTCTTCAAATGGAAGAGTACAGAAAGCCTTGATAAACTTGTTTCAAAACTTGTTTTCTTTTTGTGACTCACTCACTATTTTTACTATGTGTTCAATATACTGTAGAATTATAGAGCACTACTTGGGCTATCCGAATATATAGGGGAAACATTTTTCAGAAGCCTTCTATAAAACAATATAGGGTCGGCGCCACCACTTTTGGTATACCTTAAGTATATTTATATCTGTGTCAGTTCTCACATGAAATATATTAAACTTGAATAGGGGAGCGATCTCGTCTGCTAAGTGACATTCAAGATGCCAATAGGGATAAAGTATGCTTGAAAATGCCACAATCTAACAAAGGTAATTTATCAATAGTATATTTGTAGAAGATTGCATTATCTACAAGTGGATACCATATTTTTCTAAAAATATTGGCTATGAATAGACCGGAATGGAACATAATTTTGGTAGGCTGCTTGGCTTGTCTTACTAGTGGCGCTATTCAATCAATTGGTATCGTCTTACTTACCAAAATGGTTTATGTAAGTTTTTACTTGGTAACTTTTCAAAAGTAAACATATGTGGGGTGAATTTTTTACTAGGCATTCGAATACTGTACATATGCCCAACGAAGTCATCAAGTGATAATGATTGCTTTGCTGTTTTTATTGTTGAGTGTTGGATGCTTGTTCATTCGTTTTATTCAAGTGAGGTTGTTTTGATCAAACCGATTATAATTATCATTTTATTTTTGCTACAGTTTACTGCTTTTGCCGTAGCTGGCTCAAAGTTAACACAACGTGTTCGATCAAAGGCTTTCACATGTCTTCTTCGTCAAGAAGTTGCCTATTTTGATGAACCAGAAAATAGTTCTGGTGCTCTTTGTGCACGTCTATCATCAGATGCGATGGCTCTCCAAGAAATGAGTGGCACTCGATTGAGCATAATTGTAGAAACATTTTCTATGCTTGCTTTTGGTATTTCACTAGGATTCTACTTCAGTTGGCATTTGACACTAATTGTTTGTGTCGTGCTTCCTATCATCATTGCTTTTTGTGTTTTGGACATATATTTACAGATGAAAGTTAGTGATGCCACTGGTCTTGCTCTTCAGCGTGCTAGTTCGGTAAGAAAAGACTAGTTTTTATCTCGAAAAAAGTTGTTGATGTGAATGCGAGAAGAATAATGCACTCAACCATATTTGTGTTTCTTTCTTTCTTTCTTTCTTTCAGTTGGTCGTCGAAGTGATTCAAAATATTCGAGTAGTGAAGCAATTGACAATCGAAAAAGAAATTTTCAAAAAATATTCTGATTTGGTTCAGATATTATTTTCGTAATTTTAATGCTCAAAATATTTTTCATTGTGAATCCACTATTTGTCTTTAGAGTGTCTCTGCATTTCTCGATATTAAGATCATCACTACTTGCTATATTGTGGTGCACAGAAACATTTACTGCGGCCTTGGCGTCCTGGTGTGCTCTCATTCTTGTTCAGCATCAACTACTTGCAGTAAAGAATTCAATATTGTAAGCTAGCGACCCATATTTGTGACTGAAAAGATTTATCAATTCAAGTTTTATCTGCGTAAAACAGCAAATTTTATGGAAGAGTTCTTTAAGAAATTACATCTCATCGAGAAAAATTCTAAACAATACAATAATCTGAAGAGCAGGAGGATGCAGCTTTCTGTTTCTCCAAAAGTTTCAATAGAATAATGATTTCAGCCAAAATTTATCAGAAATATTAGGAGAATTTTTCTACGGCTACAACATATCACATAGACTATAAACTTTCGATGTAATTTCTTTAGAGTGTTCGCTTTTGTGACGTTTGCTACGCAATCCATTATGAGTATAGCAATCATGTAAGTAATTGCATCAATCTAATCACTAACTAAACGGCTGTATATAGGACAAAAAGAATCGGTGCTTCGTTCTCTGGGGCCAATTTCTTTTTTTCTCTTTTCAATCGAATACCAACTATCGACAATTACTCAACTGAAGGCCAAGAACTAGTAAGTCATTTTTGACTATAAGAGTTCTCTTGGTAGTCAGAAAGCTTGGCTACATCGAATATGATTGATATAGGTCGACTTTCATGGTGAGATCGAATTTAATCAAGTTAAATTTATCTATCCTTCTCGACCAAAAACGTCTATACTGAATAATCTTCAGTTGACTATTAAGGCTGGTGAGTGAAAAGTGTATTTTCATTTTATTCACGTAGCTCTTTTATTGATCTTTACTAAACAGGTCAACGCGTAGCTCTCGTTGGTATGTTTGATTCAAAGTCTTGATATTTGAACAAACTAATATAACTTAACCATGTAGGTCCATCTGGTTGCGGCAAATCAACGATTGCTCAACTCTTAGAACGATTTTATGATGTTACTAGGGGCCAACTAGTAAGTGTTTATTTTATTATTTTACAATTAACCGAAAGATTCGATTTCAAAAGAGATACTTTATTTAGTATGTATTATTCTTAAATGACAGTTAAGCATAATGAATATGAAACTTTGAATATTTTGTTACTTTTTAAAGATTCAAATCTATCATCAATCAATATTCTTCACTCTTTGCACTAAATATATTTCTCTTTTATTTCTCAATATCACTGTTTGCAGTTTTTAACTATTAGTTTATTTTTTTCTACTTAAATTTACTATTTGAACAAGATTTAATGATTTAATTTTAATTTGTTACAGCAAACAGTTCGTTGGCAAAACAACCTTGTTTGCGGATATGAGCACTACTGGAAAATAACCAATGCATCAAACTCAAAATAGATTAGAAAAGAATACTCTAAAGCTCAGGTTAAAATTTTTAAGAGTCAGTGCAACTATGTAGCCTTGAACATTCGTGGCGACTTTAATCGGTCTTTCACTCTTCCAATACAACTGTCAGGCTATTTTTTATAGAAGCATTGGTGTATTTGTAATATACTGAAAAGTATTGTATTATATTCCTAATCAGAAGAGAGATGCATCTTATGTAGGTGCATACGAGTACGTAGAATTGCATGAATTCTAGAGTTCATTTTTTTCTCCTGATACACAGTTATATTTATGGCTGTTTGATTTTATGTGGTAGTCATACTGAGAGATTCTTATGCATTTCGTTTTGTGACACGCACACATGGAGAGAGATAATTAAATAAAACTCGTAGTTCTGTAGATATCTTTTGAAAGTAGATCAAAGAAAATTTTGACAATTTAACCATATCTCAATAGAAATTCTAATTCTGCAATGACTCTTAGTATGTAGCACACATTTTACCATCTATGAGTGAAAATTTCTTGAACCCTAGATGAATCTTCTGAAAATTTCGAGTAATGTAGAAAAAGAAGTTTGAATATATTTTTCGTCATTCTATTGACTGATAACTTAAGCGAAACATTCATTTTGATGCGTGCTGATTGAAATATATAAAACCTATCGTGATGTCATAACTTCCAACAATTGCGGAGTTGCGTATATCTTCTGTACGCAATGTTGCAAAGGAAAAAATAAATAATTAGAGAAAATAAAAACGCTTTAATTATCTAGTCCTTTCACGTTGTTTCTGAACTATTCATAAGTTTTATAGAACAAAGTTGATTTAATATATTCCGCTTATCCACCTCTTTTTTAGACTTTGTGTCTCTATGATTATATATCAAAATACGACTAAGCGTCTAAGTTCAATTGATAATTATAAAAATAGATTTCACTACGTACTATTCATTTTTTTAACAAGTGAAATTTAAGTTTGCTAGTATAAAGTGTACAAAGTTGTTTTAGTAGATCTGCCTTGTAGTCATTGGATAGGCAATAAAAAAAAAGGTGAGCAGTACTTGATTATTAGAATATATAAATTAGCGAACTGAATCCATCTGCACATACAAAATCAGCAACATTCTCTTTGATGAGCAAGATTCTGATATTTCAAACAGCTTTTGATATTCAATCGATATAAATATAGATATATTCAGCATGGACAAATCGATTGGTCTAATACAAGAAGCTAAGAATATTGACACATTGTACGTAAAAATAAATAAATCATTCGCAATGTTACATACAGAGTGATTCCAACTCACTTCGTCTATGTAGAAGAAAAATATATTAGAATCAAAAAATGTTATGAACATGCATTTCTTTTGAAAAGATATAATTGAATAGTAGTGCATTAAACTATCTAACCCTTCAATATATAGCACCTTGATGGTATCGATATTCGTCAGCTCAATATTAAATGGATTCGTTCGCGTCTCGGTCTTGTTAGTCAGGAGCCTGTCTTGTTTGGAATGACAATAGCAAAGAATATCGCTTATGGTAAAGAGAACATTTCAATGGAAGAGATTATGGATGCAGCCAATAAAGCAAATATTCATTCGTTTATACAACAGTTACCAGAAGTGAGCTAACAATAAACAATACACTAACTATACTAATTTTGATTCATTTACAATAATAGGGCTATGAGACCAATGTTGGCAGAAAGGGAAGCCAAATGTCAGGGGGTGAAAAGCAACGTATTGCTATCGCTCGTATACTTGTTCGTCGACCTAAAGTATTGATACTAGACGAGGCAACAAGCGCCATGGACTCGTACAATGAACAGGTTTATCTTTAGGGTATTTAGAACTAATTAAAATTCTTTTAAATTCTGTTAGGTGGTACAAGAAGCACTTGAAAGGGCACAAGACGAAGATCCTAGTCGAACATCGGTGATTATTGCTCATCGTTTGTCGACAATACGTTCATGCGACGTTATTTGTGTAATAGGAAAAGGGCGTGTTATGGAGAGTGGAAGCCATGCAGAGTTAATTCAACAACGTGGAGTCTACTACCAAATGTATACACACAATGGATCAAGCTGATGCATGTCGAGAACTAATGAAAGCTTTATATGCCATATGATACTTAAATTACTAGCCAACGACTTTTAGAAGTTAAAATACACTAAATAGAATTCAAGAAAGACAAGAGTATATCGACTTTTCAGTTATGCGATGGATCACATATAAATTTGAAAGTTTTTTAATACAATTTGTTTTCTATTGGCTTACAAGGATATATCGCCATAGACTTGGATCAGATCAACATAAGTGAGAGCTTTGTAGAGTCAGTATTTGATTCACAATACTAGGTAGGTTAGAAAGCAGTTCGGTGCTAATTCTTAAGTAATATATACATATATATTATTTTTAATTCAGATCTTTCAACTATCGAATAATAAAAGAGTCAGAATCATTTGCACACTAAGAACGGTTCTGTTACATACTTTTATTTGATAAATCGATAGTTCTCTAGAAGCTACCCTTTAAACTTTGTACTTTTTTTGAGTTTCTTTTGCAAATTAATTTCAGTTAATTATGAAGGACATATTAATTATTTACTTAACATTTAAAATTTTAAACTTCTTCTTCTATGCTCTTTCTATGATTTTTATTCAAATAAAACAAGATAAAATTAAAGAATAATATTTTTGCTTGACATTTCAACACTCGAAGTTGTCTTCTTCAGATGATGACCATAAATATATAGGTATTGTTTTAATTATTGTTCCTTTTCTTTTGTAATATGTTAATGGGACGGCAAATCTGTATAAACGGTAGGGGATATGGATTATTTGTCTTTTCCCTCCGTTTCATTATTGAACTAAAATGGAATTCCAATAATATCTATATACATTCATGCCTCTCATGTAAAAAAGATAACGTCGATTGTATAAACGTCAAATAATAAACGATCGTTTTTGTTTATTCCAATAAGTAAAAATAATACAGAATATGTAAGGGTGTGGGTGTGGTTGAGTTAAAAATACAGTCACATCCACACCCACACCCACCCTCAGGATTGTAAAGCAATGCCTATAAATAAAAAATAATGTCCTTGTTCTAAAAAAAAGTAATATTTGATTTGCACATAAAAATCACTGTTCAGAGTCGGTGTCCACATTACATTCAATTCGAACTTGAACTTGTCAGCAGTTTTGTTTTAGGTACTTATTCCTTTCAATGTTATTCTATGCATCGCCGATGTTCACACCTATCAAATATACTTCTGTAGGAAAATTTCTTTCGAATGATATCATTATTTTTTTTTGTTATTCATAATATTTATTTGTCAATGACTTATTGATAAATAAGAGACTTGAAAATGTAACAACATAAATAAACAAGGTTACTAATCTGCATATTTGATTTAACTTTATTTGTAATAACTACAAAAAGAAAGCTAAAGAAGGTGAAATATTAAGGGCTAGACTAGATGATAAAATGATCATGTTAAAATGAATATATATATTCCATTTATTTAGCTGGTTTGTCACTAAGACCAGTAACACCGGGAAGGTCTTTACCTTCAAGAAGTTCAAGGCTTGCGCCACCTATAATAAACAACAAAAATAGATTCAATAAATCTCATAGAAAAAAAAATGCAGAAAGGCATGGTCATGTACTCACCACCAGTTGAAACATGGCTCATTTGATCAACAAAACCAAATTTAGCACAAGCCGTAGCTGTATCACCACCACCAATTATTGTTGCTGTATCGGCTTTGGTTTGTTCAGCAACAACTTTGAGAAGTTCTTTAGTACCATTAGCAAATTGATCTTGTTCAAAAACACCCATAGGACCGTTCCATACAATAGTTTTAGCTTGCTTAACAGCTTCACTAAAATTCTTAATTGACTTTGGGCCAATATCAAGACCAAGAAAATCGTCCTCGATGCCAGTTTCTTTTGTTGCTTCTTTTGTATCCTTTGATTTAATGTCATTAGCAACAACGAAATCAACTGGCAAATAAATTTCAACATTTTTAGCTTTCGCTTTGTCAAGAATTTGTTGAATTGATTTTGCGCCTTCACAATCGAATAGTGATTTACCAATTCTCATATTATCATGTTGTTTGAGAAACGTAAATGCCATTCCTAATCGAAAAAAAAATTATTCATAATAAAAAACTTTTTTCTATTTCACCTCCGCCAATAATTAAACCATTAACTTTATCTAAAAGATTTTCAATCAATTGAATTTTGTCAGAGACTTTGGCTCCACCTTAAATATAACAAAAAAAAGTTTTCATTTTGAAACATTTTCTAAAAATAATAATAATAACAAACCAAGAATAGCAATAAATGGTCGTTCGGGATTTTCTAAAACTTTGCCAAAATAATCAAGTTCTTTTTTCATTAAATATCCGGCAGCACGTTGTTCAAGTTTAACTCCGACAATTGAACTATGAGCTCGATGGGCTGCACCGAATGCATCATTAATATCTAGAATATAATAAAATATAAACAGGCAAAATTTATCGAATGAAAGCAATTAAAAGAAAAGAAAAAACTTACAAACATCACCAAGTTTTGATAAACTAGCTCGAAATTTGTCTACAGCTTCTTTGTCAGCTTTTGTTTTATTTCCTTGCTTATCTTTCACTGAACCTTCTTCTTCAAGATGAAATCGTAGATTTTCAAGTAAAATAACCTGTCCGTTGTCAGCGTCACTAGCTGCACGTTCAACTTCTTCGCCAACACAATCGTTTAAAAATTTAACGTCTCTGCCAAGTAATTTTTGTAATTCGTCAGCGACTGGTTTTAAACTTTCTTTTTCAACACGTTTACCATCAGGTCGACCCAAATGAGACATAAGAATAACAGCTTTGGCACCTTTGTCAAGTGCATATTTTATTGTTGGTAAGGCACCTTGAATACGTTGTTTGTCTTTAACTGTTCCATTGTCTAATGGAACATTGAAATCAACACGTATTAATACACGTTTGCCTTTAAGATCAAGATCTTCAATGCTTAATTTATTGCTGATACTAGCTTTTACGGGTGCTGCTGCCATTTTAAAAATGTTCTTAAAGTACAAATGATCAAGATGAAAAAGAGTCGAAGTCGAAAAACGAGAAAGAAATAATAGGCGCGTTATATTATATATTTGTTTCTCCTTTTTTTTAATATATAGTACAAAGTATAAACAGGCAGCGAGTCAAATGAAAAAAATGGCGAAGTAGAGCAGCAATGCAGACAGAACGAGTAAGAACTTTTCACATGAGAACAGCAAAGTAGGAGGCTAGCGTCATTGTTACTAACATGGCAATGGCGACGCCAATTGAGTTTATACATTGTGAAATGTAGCTATCAAGTTTATAATGGATTTCATTTTGTAACCTAGAGCAACACTAATTTTAAGAACGAACACAACATGTTTACATGAATTAAACGAAAGAAAAACAGCTCGAATCTACGATTCAAATACTTCTCATCAGTTTGCCATAACATTTTTTTCAGTATATACACCTATTACAAAAAAAATTAAAATATGGAATCAACCGACGTGGAAAGTAGTTTGCCAGTAGGCTTCTCTGTAAAGACACCTAGGTAATTAGGATTTTCCCCTCTATCATAGTTGGATTTTAATTATTTCTGTTAGATTTAAAACTCTTGGTTTACACCCAGGATTATTAACACGTGTTCAACATGAAACTGCACCTCATGTGAGTGTGGGTTCTTATGATGTTATGCAGTATGATGGTTTTAGTGATAAAAATGTTCAAAAACGTAGAGAAGGTCCTAATTGGCAACAAGCATTATATACAGAACAAATGGCTAAAATTCCTCATTCATCATATAAAGAAACCTATGAAAAACACAAAGAACAAGAACGACATGTTGCTCCAGGTGCTTATGGTATTGATGATTTTTTAACGGAAAATGGTCGTAAACCACGTTCTATACGAGGCGCACTCGATCAATTAACACCTCGATTTCCAAAAGATCAACCTGTACGATAGATAGTTTGATTCTTTTTCTTTAATGTACATACGTACATATTTATCTGTAAAATAGGATAGAGCACCACCACCTGGTGCCTATGGTATTCCGGATGAAAAACTTGTAGAAAGACAATTTCAACAAGGTAGTAATATGCCTCCATTTCTATGGAATCAAGGGCCAAGATCATTACCACTTGAGGTAAAGAAAAAAACATTCAACAAAAACAGCAAAATCTGTCTTTTTTTTTGTTAGGGTTCAAAAATAGGCCCAGGAACATATAATTTAAGAAGTTCAATCGATGAATTAATTCATAAACGTGTTAGTGAAAAAGGTCCATATCAATTATTTTCATTAAATCGTTCAGCACCTATTACAACTGGTCATTATGCTGTATTAGATACATGGGATTTATCCCCTGATTTTCCATCGAAAGATTATCCGAATTCAGTATCGCTTACGCATGCATTAGAAAAAAATAAAAAACTTGGTGTATTTAGTAAATTGGATCGTTTTCAAAAGAAACCCACTGATCGTATAGCCATTGAACATCCAGGTACACTTTTTCAAGAATAAAATAAATCTATAACTTGCTCTCTTTTTCCTTTGTCAATGAAAGGTCTTCAACCAAAAAATGTCGATTTTCCTGGACCAGGTAGTTACGATGAAACTCGTGCATGGGAACCAAGTGATTTTCATTCGAAAAAAGTTCCATTTAATGCTACATCATCACGAAACGATAAACGCTCATTTACCCATGCCGGAGTTCATCACGTATGTAACAATTTCTTAAATATCGCACAGTGAGATACTCTTTTTTCATTAATTTAAATAAGAAATTCTTGAAGTTCTTGCTGAATTTTCATATACTGAAATCAATAGTTAGTTTAATTGGTTCGATTATTTTTGTTTCAGGCAGTCGGTGTTGGCCGATATAATCTCCTGTCACCAGTAAGAGATGAAACAATAGCTGATAAACGTAAACGACCAAAACGACGAAACATTGGCTTTATGTCAACAACAACACGTTTTGCATCACGCGATGGCGAAGCATTGTTAACGTAGGACATTTTTTTCTTAAGATTTTATATGTCTAATTACTGAGATTCTAGTGAACGTTTACAACCACAAAATCTTCGAACAGAACAGCGAACACAATTATATCTCACCGGTCGTGTATCATCCTAATCTCACTATGCAATTCTATCAACATTCAAAAGTCCGCAAAGAAATAAAAATTTCTTCTACGCAGTAAAATTCCTTTTATTTTTGTGCTCATTTTTTTTCTGACGTATATATTTTTGAAATGTATATTTTTTTACTTCAGTAAAAAAGAAAAAAAACAAAAATAGTCCATTCACACTTCTAGTATATATTTTTGTTTGCCACTAGATAAAATGCTTCCTACAAATCGAGCAAAACTCAATGATCTTTTGTATGTTTGAAAATATTTAATTTCATGATTTCAGTTTATCATATCTTTTATGTGATTAGTAATTTTCAAGGTCTTCGAAAACGTGTTATAATTGCACCGGAATACTGTGAAAATGATGAACGATTACGAATGAAAAATTCTCAAGATGAACAAAAACCAGATTATAATGAATATAACGATTTAGATTCAATTGGTGAACAATTCGAATCATATGTTCGACCAGCAGTTACACAAAAACAATGGATTGCCGATAGAGAACATGAACGACGAGAGGTAGACCGACTAGGAGATATTGTTTATTTTTACGAACATAAACCAAAATTAACTGAATTTGAAAAAGGTGTTTATAAACGATTAACACGTCGAGATAGATCTATGCAAACAGATGAAGAACCAGAATCAGATTCGAAAATGCATGGAAATCGGCATCGTATACCAATTATTCGTCTTCCAACGCCACTAGCAATGGAAAGCGTTGAAGGATTTCTATATGACAATCATTGGCGTTTAGTTGATCTATTTCGTACACTTGACCGAGATAAATCATGGGCTGTTGTTAAAGAAGATTTTATGCGTTTAGTTGAAAAGGTAAGTTTTAATTTTTATTATGAAAAAAAAACATTACAAAATATTCATAGGAACAACTTAATATAACCGATGCTCAAGCTGAAGAATTGATTACATGTTTCTGTCGTGAAGCTGGTGTACCGCTGAATTATAAAAAATTTGCTCGTGGAAGAGCATTATATAAAAAAAATATGAGAGGTTAGATTATAGAAAAAATGATAAATAAAAAAACCCATTCTATTTCATTCGATTAATAGATAGTGCAAATAAAACTCCAAGTTCATTGGATACTCAACTCGAATCAGAGGTTTCAACAACACCGTCTGTAAATTATTTACAACTACCACCACCTGATCTATTATATGAACGTCCAATACGAACTTCTACGTCATCGCATACTCGATCAACTAAATCTTCGCTTTCAAAAAATAAAGTATAATTTCATTTAGAACTCTTCTTTTTCTTTTGTATACTATATTTTTCTATATTTTAGAGAGTATCAATCTCAACCTCGCGAACCGATAGTAAATCAAGTACATATCAATGAAGTTTATATGTATATTTTTTTTTAATGTAAATAAAATAAATGCGGGAACATCGGATTTGCATTCGATTGTTATGTGTACTTCAAAAAGCGAAAATGTACATCCATTTTTTTCTATAAGGCATAGATCTCATCAAGATACATCCTTTCTCACTAAATTACAAGGAGAAAATACAGTCATGCTAAGTTAGCATGGACCACACTGTATGCAACTATCCAGTGATCACTGACTCTACTCTCAGCGTGATATAATATCTTTAGAGATCACAAAAACTGAGCTCAGATTCGTGTTCAGCTTCGAAAACTGGATAAGAACAGTTACTTTTGAATGGTTTTGTGTTTGTATCTAGCAGGATTACGATCGTAAGCAACCTCATGAATTTATAAGAGATATATGATAGATACAGGCATCAGTATTTTCATAATAAATCATCAAT